TCTCTTTTTTTCAAAAATTCGAAATATCTTTTTTCCCACCTTCTTTTCTCATTTTCTGACTTATTTAATTTATTTTTCTATTTATTCTGAAAAATTTGATTTTCTCTACGGCAACCCTAAATCTGATTAGTTGTTAGTTTTCTCATCTTCTTCCCCACCCTATTTTCTTATTTTTGATTTTATTATATTAATTTTTACTTATTCTGAAAATTCTTGGCGGCAACCCTAAATCTGATTAGGTGTTAGCCTTTCTTGCTTTCGACACACGTTTTGACCCCGTGGAGGTAACGAAGTGCTGCTGAAATTTTCTGATTTTCTCTTACTTAGTCTTTCGGCACACTTCGACTCCATGGGGGTAACGAAATGCTGCCAAAATTAAAAAAAATAATAAAATCAGATAACCCATTTCTCCTCACCTCCTCACACACTTATCTACTTATTTATTTATTTATTGTTTTTTATTTATTTTCTGAAATTTCTTTTTATTTATTTATTTGCGGCGTCTCTAGTGTGCACACCTCGGTCTCTCCTTTTCCCTTGGCACATTCTTGACCCCGTGGGGGGTAGGGAAATGCTGCCGAAAATTTCAAGAAAATAAATATTGTTTCTCTTCACATCTTTTACTTATTTCTTTAATTATTTTTATTATTTAGTATTTATTTATTTTCCTATTTATTTTTATTTCCTCTCGAAACCTCGCTGTTTATTTATTTTTTCTCCCGTCTCCGCCCCCCCCCCCTATGCTTGTTATTTTACTTTCTTGATTAGGTCACCGGTACCCTACCCTAGCCTTAAACCTCGGTTAGGGTTTTCTTAGGGTTTTTGTAGGGTTTAGGGTTCCTCAAAACCCCCCTACTTCCCCGTCCTCTTAGGGCACCCTGGACCCGAACCACCCCTCCCCCTTTGACGGCGCCCGTGCTAGCCTTGCTAGCGCCGTTCGCCGCTTTCTACCGCGGACTTCCCCGTACGCCCTCCACTCACGCGGACCTCTTATGGCCCCCTCCAGTCCGGTCCGTCATCTCCCCATGGCCGACGGTGCGTCACACGCCGTCGACACGGCGATGACCACGGCATCGGTCTCCACACCCGTGCCGGCGGACCAGGGCCATCATCCCCAAGGGGATCTACACACCCTCCTCACCTCCCTCCTTGCGCCCATCCAGGCGCAACTCGCGACCCTCGCGCCCATCCAGGCGCAACTCACGACCCTCGGGCCCTTACAGGCGCAGGTGGCGACCCTTGCCGCCGGCGTGCAGCAACTCCAGGACACTGGTCGTCCTTCCTCTCCTCATCCTCTCTCTTCTCCTGGCTCTCAGTCCGGGTCCCCAGTTCTCCGACAGGGTGGCCACGGCGGAGTTTCCTCCTCTGCTGCCCCCGACCCGGCTATTTTGGTGACCGTCCACGCCCCTAGCTCGACGGCCGCCACGAGTCAGGCCCTTCCTCAGACTACGGGCGCACCGGCCCAAATTCCGATTACGACGGCCACGGGACCACAACCTGTTACCATGGTCTCAGCGTTTCCGGGTGCCCCGCTCCTCCCCCCCCTTCGCACGACCGCAGCGCCACCTGGCTCACCCCCCTCTGGGATGCCCCGCGCCGCTTGTGCATCCACTTCCTCCACTCTTCCCCCTGCTACCCCTCGCACGACCTACGTTTGAGGTCTCG